TTCTGTAGATGTGTGTTACATCTATCCTTCTAATGTGTTATTCAATGCCTCTATCTCCTTATTTAGTTGATGACTGGTTGATTTTTCCTTTATAGTGAGTGGCATGTGGAAGTCTAAAATGAATGCATTGCATTCTATTTCCCCCTTTAATTCTGATAGTACTTGTTGCACATATGTTGATGTTAATAATAATTGCATCCTCCTATTGGACTTACCCTTTTATCATTATATATTGTTTTTGGCCTCTTGTTAGTTTCTTTGTTTTGATGTATGTTTTATCTGATAGAAGTACTGCAACTCCTGCTTTTTTCTCCCTATTGTTTTCATAAAGTATCTTTTCCCATCCCTTTTCTTTTAGTCTGTGCTTGTGTTTGTGTCTGGGTTTGAAATGAGTCTCCTGTAGGCAGCATGAAGATGGGGCTTGCTTTTATATCCTTCTGTAGCTCTCTGTCTTTTGATTGGTGCTTTCAGCCCATTTACATTTAGGGTGATTATTGATATATATGTACTTATTGCCATTGTATGCCTTAGATTTGTGGTAACTAAAGGTTCAAGAACAGTTTCTTTACTAATGGTCTAACTTAACTCACTTATAACAATATTATACACACAATTTATTGTTCTCTTTTTTTCTCCCTTTTTTTTCTTCCTCGTCCACTCTTTATATGTTAGGTGTGATATACTGTACTCTTTGTGTATCCATTGACTGACTTTGTGGATAGTTGACTTAATTCTGTATTTGCTTAGTAATTAATGAGTTTACTTCCTTTGACTGTGGTTTTATTTTCTCTTTTGACAGCTATTCAGCTTTCAGAGCACTTCTTCTAAAACAGTCCTTTTAAAACACACTGTAGAGATGATTTGTGGGAGGTATATTCCCTCAACTTTTGCTGATCTGGAAATTGTTTTATCCTGCTTCAAATTTAAATGATAATCTTGCTGGGTAGACTATTTATTGGTTCAAGGCCCCTCTGTTCATTGCATTAAATATGTAATGCCACCCACTTCTTTAAAATTTCTGCTGAGAGGTCAGATGATAGGCTGATGGGTTTTCCTCGGTATGTGATCTTTTTTCTCTCTCTGCTTTTAATACTCTCTCCTTGTCCTAGATATTTGCCATTTTAATTAATATAATTTTAATTATTATATTATATTGTCTTCCTTGGGTCCCTTGTGTTGAGAGATCTTTGCTTCCATGGCTTGAGAGACTATTTCCTTCCCAAGACTGGGGACGTTTACAGCAGTTCCTTCTTCAAAGATGCTTTCTATCCCTTTTTCTCCCTTTTTCTTCTTCTGGTACCCCTAAAATGTGAATATTGTTCCATTTGGATTGGTCACAGAGTTGCCTTATTATTCTTTCATTCCTAGATATCCTTTTTTCTCTCTCTGCCTTAGCTTCTTTGTATTTCTGTTCCTTAATTTCTATTCAATTTACCATCTGCTCTACCCCTTCTAATCTGCTTTTTCAACCACTCCTTGTATATTTCATTTCAGATACTGTATTTTTCAAAGTTTCTCTTCTGTGAATTCATCCCTGAGACCTTGAACTTTTTTCTCTAGTTCTGTTAGCATGTTTACAATTTTTACTTTGAAATCTTTATCAGGAAGATTGATGATTTCAGTTTCACTGAGCCCTCTTTCTGGTGTTTGGAGGATTTTTGATAGAACAAGGTTATTCTGCATTTTCATAAACCTACTGTATAGTATGGAATAATAGCTTTGTGTAGGTGTTACCCTCTAGTGACCAGAAGCTCTACTCTCTGGAGATCCTCAGCATCTGGAGTGATGGTGGTTGTCTTAGATGAGCAGTGCCAGTATCTGCCAGGAAGAAAGAGATTTTTCCTGCTCCCATCTGCAATGCCTGCCTCCACTGCCAGGGCCAATGAGCAAAGCGCACAGAAAAGAGCCCTTGTGATATGCCCCTTTAGCTGCCATAGGCAGTGCTGCAATGTGGCTGGCCTGAAATGTTGGTGGGGGCAACAGTTTTGCAAGCCAGTTCCAGCTGGGAGGAAATACTGCCAGGCTGCATATCACAGTGGGGGGCCTTGGGTCTGCATTGCCAGCCACTGGATGGATCACCTGAATCTGCCAAGTTTCCAACCTACTTAGCTGTGTGCCTCAGGATGATTTTGTCCACCTGTCCTTTGTCCTGTGCAACAAGCTCTGTGTAATCCTTGCCCCTTTAGCAGGCCTCTCATGGTTGAGAAGTCTTTCAAAGCACCCACCTTTCTTTTGTCCCAGAGTGCCCAGTTGTGGGTACCAATTATCCACAAGTGGTTGGAATCTCATACTCTCCAAGTATTCCACCAGCCTTTGCTTTCCAAACCCTCTAATATCCAGAGCAGCATGCAATGTGGGTTCATGCTCCCAATGTGGGCATAGTGTGGTATTTAGCAGTCCTTGGCTTCTGTGTCTATTCCTTTCACTGGTGAGCTGGGTTGGGGGAAGGGCTTGGCTCCCATTGGATCACAGCTTTCCTACTTTACACTTTCACAAGAGATATCCTCTTGTCTCCAGATGTAGGCCATCTGTTGCAGTCTTCTTTCTGCTCACTTTTTTAGGATTAATTGTATTTGCTATATTTTCATATTACATGTGGTTTGGGGAGGAGATTTCTGCCTCATTTCTCATGCCACCATCTTTCTCCCCAATAATATGGTTTTAAACCTTCATATTGTTAATGTGGTGTTTCACATTGATTGGTTTGTTGATGTTGATGCATTCTTGCCTCAAACAAATGCCAATAGATTATGATCCATAATGCTTTCAGTGTATTATTGAATTCAGTTTGCTAATTTCCTATTGCATGCATTGCACTAATGTTCATCAAGAATAATGGTCTGTAGATTTCTTTTCATATAGTGTCCTTGTGTGTAATTTTATTATCATGAAATCCCGGCTTTCAAAAATGGGTTTCACAATGTTCTTTCATCTAACATTTGGGTGGGCTTTAGAATACTAGTATTAATAACTTATGAATTTATTAATATCATTTCAAATATTTTTGCAAAAGAACACTTGCTTTCTTGCTCTTACTCAACATAACAGGCACATTGCTACCTGACACTCTTTGAACTGAATGTTTCTTCCCGTATTGCACTTCCCCAGATATTTCCATAGATTACACATTTTCGCACCTATCATACTTGTTTAAATATTGCATTCTCATGAAGCTATTCTTGATGATCATATTTAAATAGCTAGCCTCACTCAAAAAACTTAGAGTTCCTGTGGTACTTTATTTTCTCTTCATAATATATTCATTACCTTGTAATATACCACATATTAGCAGATTTTTTTTTCATTCTTTACAAGGCCACACTTAGGAAATCAGTATAGTATTTACACAGGAACAAATAGGTCACAGGGATAGGAATGACTGGATACCCAAGTCTCCATGTATAAGAGATCCCATATAAATTTATATAAATTTAAGCATGGTTCAACTGCTAATGGAAAAAGGATGGGTTCTTAGTGTTGGTAGAGCTGCTTCACTATATGGAGGAAATTAAGTTGGATATCAATCACCCGAGCCAATTGTGAATTCTAGTTTTATTTAGACATTTATATTAAGGGTAAGCTTTAAAGCTGTTTTGCTTAGGGAAGTGTAGTTATTTCTGTGATAAAAATCATTGTTCCCTAGGGGTGGAGAAAAGCTTCTCAGCCAAATGTACATTGCAAAAATTACCAGTAAGACATTTTATAAGGCAGTGTCTGAGATGAAGTGTGATGACAATATGGCATTAACTACAGAAAATGTAATATAATTTAATACCTCAATATACTAAAAAGGGGTAAAAGGGAGAAAGATAGAAAGAGATGGACAGGCTGGGAAAGATAGAGTGAGAAGAGTAGCGCAAGAGGGAGAAGGAGGACGAGGGGAGGGAGAAGTGCAGGCCATTTTGCCTGGGGGACACTTTGCTGCAGTCCCCATATTCCTGAATTTCGGAAGACCTATAGCCCATTGATCATGAGTGTTATCCTGTCTGTCATCCTGAACCCATGATACCACCTCAGCAGCAGTATCTATTAACTGGAAAATGAACATTTATTTATGAAACCTTTTAGATCTCTCTAACATTGAGTTTTAATGAAGTTTTAGCTCCTGCTGTGTTAATATGTAGGCACAAGTGGTCATAGTTTTCCCTGGGTGATTTTGGAAGCCTTTGGAAGGAAGGCGAGCATGGGAACTGATGAGGGGCCAGTATGTTTACTCATTTCAGAACCCACATTATATCCTAACAGGGACATAGGAGGTTTGGTGGGGGTAATTCTGTTTTAAAACACTGGCTTTGAAATACCAGAAGCAGACCTTCTTAGTGGGTGTGTTTTAAATCCCACTAGTCTCATACATGTAGGTTGTGAATAAATGTAAGGAAATTAACACAGGCAATCATACCCATATATTTGGTCATGAATATCCACTTTAATTGTAGATAACTGAAAGAGTCATTATAAGAATTTCACGGATCCCAATTTCAGGCCACATCTTTCCCTTTCTGTCTATGTGGGTGTCACAGGTTTTCCTTTAGGTATTTGTAGTAAACACCATTTCCTTTAGTAGAGATCGTGGGCAAAGTCAAACAACAGGGGGAAGGTGAGAAAGATTAAAAGTTACTTCATGGGTGGGATTCATTTTGTCTGTGCTTAATTAGTTAATAATGAAGGAGTGAAAGTGAGGGTGAAATATAGAGGAAGTCATAGAGGTAATGTAAAGATACCATATGAAAAAGAGAAAGCACAGAGAATGATTCAAAGAATGCATTTGGGTGACAAATGTCCTGGAAGTTTTGAATGAACCACCATCTTAAAATTGAAACAAAAGCAATCTTTATTGACTTTTACCTTTTGTGAACCTTACGTATGAAAAATAATCCATGCAGACAACATTATCATTATCCCTAGTGGAATAACAACATACATGACTTAAACACTGATGCGATAGTTTTGAACATTTTGAGAACTTCCTCAACTTGAAAATAAAATTGTTTCTTTTTCAGGAACCATGTGGGCTCAGCAATTACTAAGCCTGATTTATTTTGAAGAGCATCGCAAAAGATTGTCAAATGTGGAGACAGTTGGTCTAGTGCCCTTTCTTGAATACAGTCTTGAACGAAGAAACTTAGAGAAAATACCATCTCCTCGACTGTTCTGTAGTCACATTCCGTACTACTTGGCTCCCAGAGGGCTGAAGAATAAAAAAGCCAAAGTAGGAGAGAGACCATGCCTGCTGAAAGATTGCTGTTTTTGTTATTTCATTTATTACACTGATACTACATGTATCTCATTGTTATCTCTTGTGATATTTCACATACTGTAATTTTTTAAAAATTTTGTTTCATTAATCTACAATTAAATAAAGAAAATTATGTTTATTAGGGTCCCCCCTTCACCAAGTCCCCCTGACGAACCCCATTGTGGTCACTGTCTTTCATCATAGTAATATGTTGTAGAATCACTACTTGCCTTCTCTATGTTGCACAGCTCCCCCTCCCCCCCACATTATACATGCCATTTGTAATACCCCTTTCTTCTTCCCCTCCCTTATCCTTCCTTCTCTCCCATTCTCCCGAGTCCCTTTCCCTTTCGTAACTGTTAGTCCACTCGGGTTCTGTGATTCTGCTGCTGTTTTGTTCCTTCAGTTTTCCTTTGTTCTTATACTACAAATATGAGTAAAATCATTTAGTATTTGTCTTTCTCCACCTGGCTTATTTCACTCACCATAATACCCTCTAGCTCCATCCATGTTGTTGCAAATGTTAGGATTTGTTTTCTTCTTATGGCTGAATAATATTCCATTGTCTATATGTACCACATCTTCTTTATTCATTCATCTACTGATGGACACTAAGGTTACCTCCATTTCTTGGCTATTGTAAATAGTGCTGGGATAAACATAACGGTGCATCTGTCTTTTTCAAACTGGGGTGCTGCATTCTTAGGTAAATTCCTAGAAGTGGAATTCCTGGGTCAAATAGTATGTCTATTTTGTGCATTTTGAGGAACCTCCATACTGCTTTCCACAATGGTTGTACTAATTTACATTACCACGAGCAGTGTAGGAGGATTCCCCTTTCTCCACAACCTTGCCAACATTTGTTGTTTTTGTCTTTTGGATGGCAGCCATCCTTACTGGTATGAGGTGATATCAAATTGTGGTTTTAATTTGCATTTCTCTGATAACTAGTGATGTGGAGCATCTTTTCATGTGTCTGTTGGCAATCTGAATTTCTTCTTTGGAGAACTGCACAGCTCCTCTGTCCACTGTTTAATTTGATTATTTGCTTTTCATTTGTTGAGGTGTGTGACCTCTTTATACATTCTGAATGTCAAGCCTTTATTGAATCGTCATTTATGAAAATATTCTCCCAAACTGTAGGGTACCTTTTTGTTCTATTGATGGTGTCCTTTGCTGTACAGAAGCTTTTGAGCTTGATGTACTCGCACTTGTTCATTTTTGCATTTGTTCTTCTTGCCCAGTGAGATATGTTCATGAAGAAGTCACTCAACTTTATGTCCAAAAGATTTTTGCCTATGTTTTTTTCTAAGAGTTTTATGGTTTCATAACTTACATTCAGTTCTTTAATTCATAGTGAATTTACTTTTGTGTATGAGGTTAGACAGTGATCCAACTTCATTCTCTTACATGTAGCTGTCCAGTTTTGCCAGCACCATCTGTTGAAGAGACTGTCATTTCCCAATTGTATGTCCATGGCTCCTTTTTCATACATTAATTGACCATATATGCTTGGGTTAATGTTTGGAGTCTCTATTCTGTTCCACTAGTCTGTGGCTCTGTCCTTGAGCCATTACAAAATTGTCTTGATTTCTGTGGCTTTCTAGTGGAGCTTGAAGTTGGGGAGTGAGAAACCCACCCCCCAACTTTATTCTTAATTCTCAGGGTTACTTTTGCTATTCAGGGTCTTTGGTGTTTCCATATGAATTTTTGAACTATTTGTTCCAGTTTGTTGAAGAATGTTGTTGGTAATTTGATGTGGATTCCATCAGATCTGTATATTGCTTTGGGCAGGATGGCCATTTTGATTATATTAATTCTTCCTAGCCAATAGCATGGGATGAGTTACCATTTGCTAGTGTCCTCTTTAATTTCTCTTAAGAGTGTCTTATAGTTTTCAGGGTATAGGTCTTTTACTTCCTTGGTTAGGTTTATTCCTAGGTATTTTATTCTTTTTGATACTATTGTGAATGGAATTGTTTTCCTGATTTCTCTATTAGTTCATTGTTAGTGTATAGGAAAGCCACAGATTTCTGTGTATTAATTTTGTATCCTGCAAGTTTGCTTTATTCTGATATCTGTTCTAGTAGTTTTGGAATAGAGTTTTAGGTTTTTTTATGTACAATATCATGTCATCTGCAAATAGTGACAGTTTGACTTCTTTACCAATCTGGATTCCTTGTATTTTTTTGTTTTGTCTGATTGCCATGGCTAGGACCTCCAGTACTATATTAAATAACAGTGCAGAGAGTGGGCATCCCTGTCTTGTTCCCCATCTGAGAGGAAAAGCTTCCAGTTTCTCACTGTTCAGTACGATGTTAGCAGTGGGTTTATCATATATGGCCTTTATTATGTTGAGCTACTTGCCCTCTATACCCCTTTTCCTGAGAGTTTTTACCATGAGTGGATGTTGAATTTTGTTTAATGCTTTTTCAGCATCTGTGGAGATGATCACGTGGTTTTTGCCATTCTTTCTGTTTATGTGGTAGATGATGTTGATGGATTTTTTAATGTTGTACCATCCTTGCTTCCCTGGGATTAATCCCACTTGGTCGTGGTGTATGATGCTTTTGATATATTTTTGAATTCGGTTTGCTAATATTTTGTTGAGTATTTTTGCATCTACATTCATGAGGGATATTGGTCTGCAATTTTCTTTTTTGGTGGGATCTTTGCCTGGTTTTGGTTTCAGGGTGATGTTGGCTTTGTAGAATGAGTTTGTGGGCATTCCCTCCTCTACTGTTTTTTCGAAAACTTTGAGAAGAATGGGTATTATGTCTTCTCTGTATGTCTGATAAAATTCTGAGGTAAATCCATTTGGTCCGGGGGGTTTTGTTCTTGGGTAATTTTTTGATTACTGCTTCAATTTCTTTGCTCATAAATGCTTTGTTTAAATTTTGTGTTTCTTCCATGGTCATTCTTGGAAGGTTGTATTTTTCTAGGAAGTTGTCCAGTTCTTCTATGTTTTCCAGCTTGTTAGCTTATAGGTTTTTGTTGTAGTCTTTAATAATTCTTTGTATTTCTTTGGAGTCTGTCATGATTTTTCCTTTCTCATTTCTGATTCTGTTGATGTGTGTTGATTCTCTTTCTAAGCTTGGCTAGAGGCTTATCTGTTTTGTTTATTTTCTCAAAGAACCAGCTCTTGGTTTCATTGATTTTTTCTATTGTTTAATTCTTCTCAATGTTGTTTATTTCTTCTCTATTCTTTATTAAGTCCCTCCTTCTGCTGACTTTAGGCCTAATTTGTTCTTCTTTTTCCAATTTCAATAATTGTGACTTTAGACTATTCATTTGGGATTGTTCTTCCTTCTTTAAATATGCCTGGATTGCTATATACTTTCCTCTTAAGACTGCTTTCACTGCATCCCACTGAAGTTGTCCCATTGTGTTGTTGTCATTTGTTTTCACATATTCCTTGATCTCTATTTTAATTTGTTCATTGATCCATTGATTATTTAGGAGCATGTTGTTAAGCCTCCCTGTGTTTGTGAGCCTTTTTGTTTTCTTTGTACAATTTATTTCTAGTTTTATACCTTTGCAGTCTGAAAAGTTGGTTGGTAGAATTTCAATCTTTTGGAATTTACTGAGGCTGTTTTTGTGGCCTAGTATATGGTCTATTCTGGAGAATGTTCTATGTGCATTTGAGAAGAATGTGTATCCTGTTGCTTTTGGATGTAGAATTCTATAGATGTCTATTAGGTCCATCTGTTCTAGAGTGTTGTTCAGTGCCTCCGTATCCTTACTTATTTTCTGTCCAGTGGATCTATCCTTTTGGGTGAGTGGCGTGTTGAAGTCTCTGAAAATTAATGCATTGCATTCTGTTTCCCCCTTTAGTTCTGTTAGTATTTGTTTCACATATGCTGGTGCTCTTGTGTTGGGTGCATATATATTTAGAATGGTTATATCCTCTTGTTGAACTGAGCCCTTTATCATTATGTAATGTCCTTCTTTATCTCTTATTACTTTCTTTGTTTTGAAGTCTGTTTTGTCTGATACTAGTACTGCAACTCCTGCTTTTTTCTCTCTATTAGTTGCATGAAATATTTTTTTCCATCCCTTGACTTTTAGTCTGTGCATGTCTTTAGGTTTGAGGTTAGTTTCTTGTAAGCAGCATGTAGATGGATCTTGCTTTTTTATCCATTCTGTTACTCTGTGTCTTTTGATTGGTGCATTCAGTTCATTTACTTTTAGGGTGATTATTGAAAGATACGTACCTATTGCCATTGCAGGCTTTAGATTTGTGGATACCAAAGGTTCAAGGTTGTATTCTTTAGTATCTTACTCTCTATCTTAACTCACTTATTGACCTGTTATAACACAGTCTGGTGATTATTTATTTCTCTCCCTTCTTATTCCTCCTCCTCCATTCTTTATATCTTGGTTGTTTTATTCTGTTCTCTTTTGTGTTTCCTTTAACTACTTTTGTGGGTACTTGATTTTATTTTTTGCCTTTAGTTAGTATTTGGTTGGTCTCCTTTCTTTGCTGTGATTTTATTTTCTCTGGTGACATCTATTTAGTCTTAGGAGTGCTCCCAACTAGTGCAGTCCCTCTAAAATACCCTGTAGAGTTGGTTTGTGGGTGGCAAATTCCCGCAACTTTTGCTTATCTGGGAATTATTTAAGTCCTCCTTCATATTTAAATGTTAATTGTGCTGCATACAGTATTATTGTTTCAAGGCCCTTCTGTTTCATTGCATTAAATATATCATGCCATTTTCTTCTGGCCTATAAGGTTTCTGTTGAGAAGTCTGATGATAGGCTGATGGGTTTTCCTTTGTAGGTGAACTTTTTCCTCTCTCTAGCTGCCTTCAAAACTCTGTTCTTGTCCTTGATCTTTGCCATTTTAATTATTATGTTTCTTTGTGTTGTCTTCCTTGGGTCCCTTGTGTTGGGAGTTCTGTGTGGTTCTGTGGTCTGATCGATTATTTCCTCCCCCAGTTTGGATAACTTTTTGGCCATTATTTCTTCAAAGACACTTTCTATCCCTTTTTCTCTCTTTTCTTCTTCTGGTACCCCTGTATGTGGATATTGATCATTTTGGATTGGTCACACATTTCTCTTAATATTGTTTCATTCCTTTAGATTCTTTTATAACTCTGTGTCAGCTTCTATGTGTTCCTGTTCTCTGGTTTCTATTCCATCAATAGCCTCTTGCATCTTATCCACTCTTCTTATAAGTCCTTCCAGAGACTGTTTCATTTATGTAATCTCCCTCCGGACTTCATCCCTTAGCGTTGCATATTTCTCTGCAGCTCTGTCAGCATTGTTATGACATTTATTTTGAATTTTTTTTCAGGAAAATTGATTAGGTCTATGTCCTTCTCAGGGATTGACTGTGTGATCTGTATCAAATTCTTCTGCCTTGCCATGGCGATAGAGGTAGTTGTGCAGAGCTGGCATGTGTGTTGGCTGGGAGAACATCCCTTCTTACTGGTTTGTGGCCTTTCTCTCCTGGGAAAACAGCGAACTCTAGCAGCTTGTGCTGGGCAGTTGCGTACATATGGGGCTTCTGATTCATGCCAGGCCACTGTGAAGTTGAGTCAAAGCTCAACTTCCATGAAAATCAAAGCATCTTCAGCCTGTCAGTGTGGAGCAACAAGCCCATGGTTGCTGCGGATGTGACTGGCCTCAGTCTGCTTCTCCAATATGGTAGAGCCATGTCATAGGGGAAACAGGTGGGAGGCTGTTTATTGCCATGAGGGGCCTCCAAGCTGTGCTGCTGCCCAGGGGGTTAGGATGCCCAGAGTTCCCTGGGATTCCCAGGTGCTGAGCTAAGTGTCCTGGGTCACTTCCATCCAGCTGTGGGGTCCCTGTCCCTTTAACACTTTCAAAAAGCACTTGCTTTTTCTTTGTCCCAGGGGTTCTGGGTGCAAGCACCTGCTCACAGGTCTTACTGTCCTATTTCCCTAGTATCCAGCACACCACGCACTGTGTGTCTGCGCTCTGGTGTGGATGGTTAGGAGGTCTGGGTGTTTAGCAGTCCTGGGCTCCCTCTTCTTCCCCGATCTGACTCCTCTCTTTCTTCCCAGAGCTGGGGTGAGGCACGCTCGGGTAGCACTGGACTTCAGCTTGTATCTTACCCCCTTTGCAAGGCGCTGGGTTCTCGCAGGTGCAGATGTAGTCTGGCTGTTGTCCTGTGTCTTCTGGTCTCTCTTTTAAGAATAGTTGTATTTGTTGTATTTTTAAAATATATATGGTTTTGGGAGGAGATTTCCACTGCTCTATACTCACACCACCATCTTGGCTCCACCCCCAAATACTGTAATTTTTAATAGCATTTACATTCTTATTTTTAATATTCAATTTTGTTTTCATTTTGTCATATTTTCATCATAATAATACATATAATTTAAAAGTTAAGCATATACATACATTCATATATTTTATATTAATGATTATATTATAATGGCATATGTAATATATATGTAATATATGTCTCTAATTTTAAATTAACTCTGTCACTAAGTATACACATAAACTACTAGGGATTTCCTTCCCCTTTCCCTCTACAGCCTCCCTGCTTTCCTGGATACTCCCAGCTTATTTCCCATTCTTTATCAAAGCTCATCTTCCATGAAAACCAAAGCATCTTCAGAACCTGTCGGTGTTCTCTGCAGGATGATTCTCTGTCCCTCTCATTCATCCTCCCTGGATCAATCATTTCCATGTATTGAAAATTTCAGCTCTTCGTTAGTTATGTTACTCTCAATTTTAGCTCCCATCACTTACGGTATAATTTCAAAGTTCATGTGAATGGCCTTCCACCAGGCCGAGACAAGGAGAGGCCAGCCAGGCACCAGGGCCCAAAGTCCAAGGAGGACCTCACTTTCAGAGTGGAGCAAATGCACAATGTTCCTCCTTCAGATTTGTCCACCTGGCCCTGCCCTGACCTCCTTCCATTCCCAGTCCTGCCAACCTCAGTGTGAAATTCCCAGCACCAGTGATCTTTCCTCTACCGATCTCAGCTCCCCTTCTAGCCCTCTTATAAACCACCAAATACTTATGACCCTCATTGCTTTCTTATTTCACATGTGTATATATTAATTTGTTATCTATTTTTCTGACCTTAGTGTAAAACCATGAGAAGTTAGAGGCTGTAGGAGGCTGAGTTCGCAATGCTGAAAACAGTGGCCCTCAAGTAGTGGACTTGAATGAAGGACTCACCCGTAATTGCACTAATTAAATCATGACTTCAAGCCCCTTGTTCAGAAATGCTTCCTAGTCTGCCTGTTCCTTGCTGGCATTCCCATCCCAGCCTGTGTCAGCATCATTTAGGATCCATCCCCTCCAGTCTTCTGGTGAAGAGAGCCCTACTTCCTCACTGTATTTTAGCACTCTGCTCCCCTCTTTCTAAAGCCACTTGCTCCTTTTGTCTCTGTTATAATCAGCTGGGAAAACCTGTTACAACACAATTAGAATGCATTCCTACCTTGTTCAGAGCTCTATCTGAGTTACTAGGATAAAACATAAATACTTCAAATTTGTACCTGGTCTTCAATCTGATGGCCAAATTTCTCAAATTCTACTACTTTAAATATTTTGCATTCTTGGTTTACAAAGTGAAAATGTGACACTTTCTTTCCTCTTTGGAAACCTCATCAGCATTCTGCTCTGTGCTTTAACCGGCCCCAGGTAATGACCTCCCATTCAGAAAGTTCACCCCTACTGTGTCCTCTTACCACCTTCCCTCCTTAAAAGAAAAAGTGCAGTGTGTAGGCCATGTCTTCTCCATAAGAGATCATTAGAGATCAGCCCCTCTGTTTGCAGTCAGAGTCTGTTTTTGTCATTCCCAGTGTGCCCCTAATGAGCGTGATTTTGTATCCGCTGGATATTTGGATTTGTCTGGTAGTATTTTTTGGCTGGGGTTGTAGTGGTACTGCGGGTTTGGTGTGAAAAGAGAACACGGATACTATTAAATATGCGACATTACACAGGGCAGACGCGCATCAGACAGTTAATTGTTCCACTTTGGGAGGCCACTTTGGGAGCCTCCCTGTATCCTGAAAGATTTGGCATGAGTAATAATTTCCTTTTTTCAATTCATCATCAATTTCTTCTTCTTTCCTGATCATTCACTTTGGCACATAAGGTGTCTTGTTACACTTTCTGAAAGAGACAGAACTCCACTTTATCCATACCAATTTTTAGCTGTTTTTCTGTTCTTTGAGCTAATATTAGTCCATTTGACTTCTGCCTCCAACTTCAATTTATGCCTCAAAGTCAATATCATATGTTTGTTATATTTTATAAGCCCAAGAATCAATTTTGTGTCATCTTATTTGGCATATCCATGGCATCAGACTTAGTTGATCTTTTTCTACTTCTTTATATCTTTTCTCTTCCTACCTTAGTATGTCAATGTAGAAATGTGGTAAATCTTTAACCGTTTGGAAACATTGAGATAATGAGTCACTGCAGGCCATGATTTCCTGGGCAGTGTGGGTCACGTAGGGGCGAGAATAGCCCAGAAATACTAAGAATCTATCAGCTCATCTCCTCTCATGAATCGTTGTCACCGGGCACTGCACTGGGAGGGTGCAGGTGGATGAAACCTTCTCTTTACCTGAACTGGATGTTTGCCAAGAGGAGAAAGAACAGATGTACAAGTGAATCCTCAGTAGAGATGCAAGGCCTGGGGTTACCTGAGTGAGCCTGAATGTTCTATACACACACAGAATAAGGATCTTAAACATGGGCTGGGCAGATATTAATGATATTTTGTATTCCTGTAAGATTAGCTTGCTTTTTGTTAAGGAATTATATCTTCTAGTTGTTTATCATAAAGAGTATTTTACATGAACCCTCTATTCCTTCCATTTTAAAAAAGTACTTGACAAGTAACCTGTGTGAGTCAAGCAGTTGTGATTTCCTCTATCAGTAAGGAAGATGGCAAGTGTACACTGAAGAATAAGAAAAACAGAACTTGAGATTTATTTGTGTATTGATATGTTAGTGAGGTGTTTCAGTTCTCATAGAATTTTATAGTTTTTGTAAAATTGTCACCTGCATTGACTGCTTATTGCAGGGGAAATGAATGATGTTGCTCTCTCCACTTGGGAAGTTAAGAAGACTTAAATCCAGAGATGGGTCTTGAACAGTGACTGACAGTCTAGGCCAAGCAAGGAGGGAGAGGCATTGAGGGAATGAGAAACAGGAATACGAAGGTGACAGCTGAGCATGTACAACATGGTTGGGAGGTTGTCGATACTGACATTAGTGGGTCCCATCCAACTGAAGGGCCTTTATGGGAAATGATGATGGAATGAAAGCAACACAAACAATTATTTCCTCTTTTTCCTGCAGATTATTTATTTATACAGGAACCCTAAAGATGTTATGTGCTCATTTTTTCATTTTTCAAACGTAATGAGAATATTCAAACCATCTGCCAATATGGAGGAATTTATGGAACTCTTTTTAAAAGGGAAAGGTAACTGAGTTTGTAAAAATAGCAGTAAGTTCAAACCTGTGGGAAGTTTTTAAGGTTGGTGAATTTTGCAGATGTTAAGAAACTCGTGAAATGAAGTAGAATGGGATCAGTGGACAATTTATCAAGCTGTTTGTTGGGTTATCTTGGATAAAATTTCTACTCACTGTCACACAAACTCAGTATATTGTCAAGATCAAAAAGCCATACCATAAGTAAATATTAACGTTTGATCATGATAGGAGTGTGAACAGATCATGAACTCAGAGGTTTCTGTTCCAGCTCAGCTGAGAATAAGGTTCCGTTTAGATCACAGTATCACAGGGGTTTTGGCCGAACTTGTGCATGTGGTAACTGCCAAAGGCTTCTTTGGGACAAAGTTCTGTTCCGCATTGTATTCTGAGGAGTCACTGTGGCTGGTTGAGCAGGAGAGAGGCCTGCTGTGATAGAGATGATGGTCTGGCACAGGAGAAGCAAGCTTAGGCTGTGCACCACTGTGCAGAGCTGAAGGGAGTCCTTAGGGTGCCTACATATTATACTGAGGGGTGCAGCTCTATGTGCTTTTGGGGTCAGTGGGAGGACTGGATCAGAAAGGATTTGTTCCTATGAATGTTGTTGTATTTTTCCTTCCGAATCAGATTAGCTTGCTTTTTGTTAAGGAATTATATCTTCTAGTTGTTTATCATAAAGAGTATTTTACATGAACCCTCTATTCCTTCCATTTTAAAAAAGTACTTGACAAGTAACCTGTGTGAGTCAAGCAGTTGTGATTTCCTCTATCAGTAAGGAAGATGGCAAGTGTACACTGAAGAATAAGAAAAACAGAACTTGAGATTTATTTGTGTATTGATATGTTAGTGAGGTGTTTCAGTTCTCATAGAATTTTATAGTTTTTGTAAAATTGTCACCTGCATTGACTGCTTATTGCAGGGGAAATGAATGATGTTGCTCTCTCCACTTGGGAAGTTAAGAAGACTTAAATCCAGAGATGGGTCTTGAACAGTGACTGACAGTCTAGGCCAAGCAAGGAGGGAGAGGCATTGAGGGAATGAGAAACAGGAATACGAAGGTGACAGCTGAGCATGTACAACATGGTTGGGAGGTTGTCGATACTGACATTAGTGGGTCCCATCCAACTGAAGGGCCTTTATGGGAAATGATGATGGAATGAAAGCAACACAAACAATTATTTCCTCTTTTTCCTGCAGATTATTTATTTATACAGGAACCCTAAAGATGTTATGTGCTCATTTTTTCATTTTTCAAACGTAATGAGAATATTCAAACCATCTGCCAATATGGAGGAATTTATGGAACTCTTTTTAAAAGGGAAAGGTAACTGAGTTTGTAAAAATAGCAGTAAGTTCAAACCTGTGGGAAGTTTTTAAGGTTGGTGAATTTTGCAGATGTTAAGAAACTCGTGAAATGAAGTAGAATGGGATCAGTGGACAATTTATCAAGCTGTTTGTTGGGTTATCTTGGATAAAATTTCTACTCACTGTCACACAAACTCAGTATATTGTCAAGATCAAAAAGCCATACCATAAGTAAATATTAACGTTTGATCATGATAGGAGTGTGAACAGATCATGAACTCAGAGGTTTCTGTTCCAGCTCAGCTGAGAATAAGGTTCCGTTTAGATCACAGTATCACAGGGGTTTTGGCCGAACTTGTGCATGTGGTAACTGCCAAAGGCTTCTTTGGGACAAAGTTCTGTTCCGCATTGTATTCTGAGGAGTCACTGTGGCTGGTTGAGCAGGAGAGAGGCCTGCTGTGATAGAGATGATGGTCTGGCACAGGAGAAGCAAGCTTAGGCTGTGCACCACTGTGCAGAGCTGAAGGGAGTCCTTAGGGTGCCTACATATTATACTGAGGGGTGCAGCTCTATGTGCTTTTGGGGTCAGTGGGAGGACTGGATCAGAAAGGATTTGTTCCTATGAATGTTGTTGTATTTTTCCTTCCGAATCCAATTTTAGAATGCTTTTCTTTTCATATAAAGTGTCTTTAAAAAATTCTCCTTTAATGCATGTTATAGTTTTCTGGTGACAGCTGGATGATTCTCCTGTTAATCATGTGGCTGGGGACAAACTGAACTCTATCAACAGAGTTCCTTCTCCTCCTGTTGTTACTAAACTTTCCTGCACCTCATAGGAAGGTGATAGCTTATTTATTATCCTATTCAATAAATTTATCTATTCATTCTCTGTCTTCCTACAGTAACTGGAAGCCTTTGGTATGACCATATCAAAGGTTGGTATGAGCACAAAAGTCACTTCAATATTCAGTTCATAATGTATGAGGACATGATAAAGGTGAGAAGAGATTATAGTTCTATTTTAACCTAAGCTGTAACTGAGCCTGGCCTAGTGAACTAATGATTTCATATCTAGAATTCTCAAGGCCAATATTGAATTAGAGATCCAAGATGTAGTGTTATATAGACTTTTTCCTATGTCTTCTCCATATTCTATTTACCAAGTTTTCATTTCAATTTATGGACTTAAGTTTGTTTTCAAAAAAACCAGTGTGTGTTAGTTATTTGTGGGTATATGCATGCCTTCATATGCTTGATTATTTTAAACCTGTATGTTTCTTTCTCAGTCATGCTTTATACATTCTATTTCCTGAATGATTCATCCTTTTAATATTCTGATATTTATCACCCTGGGATGCATTTGTTGTGAAATCTAGTCTCATGTGCCCTATACTGAGTAATCCTGATAGGAGAATTTTAAATACAATGTCTGTGTCATTAAGAGGAATGCAGGTCCTAACAACAGTCAACCAGAAGCAGTTTGAAGAATAAGGATATCTGTTGTTTGTTGACTGAAATTGAGAGGCAGACTATCCTGAGGCTGGGAATGGCCCCTGAAGGATATTGTGACTGTTCCAAGAATTTTCTATTAGCTTTTTTTATCATATTTCCTTTGGCATCGATCCTCCTCTCAGTTGCAAGATGGTTTTGTCATGGCTCAAATCTCATATCCTGTGAGTACAGGATAGACAGCACCCACAGTGAAAATAGACAGAACAGGAACATATAGGACTTTTTCCCATGCTCTGTTGCTGGCTTTACCCCAGGAGGAAATTCAATCTCAAAAGCATCTGTTTGACTTAGTCTTTCTGTTTCAATGCCAAAAGTGCGTCACTCACCAGTCTAGACTAATCTTTGTAAAGGAAAGCAGTAGTGCCATGAAGATCTGCTCAAACAGGATCATTCCTGTAACTGCTGCCAGGACAGCATCAGGGGTCTTTTATCAAGAAAGGAGAGGATGAGTAGATACACAGGCAAAGACTAAGGGCTGCCACCTCCTGAATGTTCATGGACAGCTTCGGTCAAAATCTCTCCCTAGGTCATGATAGAAACCTAGACTCCTGGTTGAGTCTCTATCAGCTACCAAGAGAGATTTAAGTACATGGCTGCCTTTGCCACCCTCCTCACAATAGGACTTCCTCCAGTGCCTCCAGCCACATGTGACTTTCCATCCAAGGCCTGTTCCCAACTGTCTGCAGGGAAACTGAATGTCTAACTTTTCTGTGAACTGACATCTCACACATTCCATGCAACCACAGTATTGTATATACTGACCCTTTAGTATATATGTTTCCTACTTTGCCTCCCTAGGAAAACGTGTTTCCATTTAAGACCTAGAACATATTGCTCTTGCTCCTTGAATCTTTCTCTGAAACTGGTTGCACACTCACTCTCTCTCATTGTGTTGGTATTCTCAGTGCCAGCTCTGATTCCATTGTTACCCCTGAATTCACTTGCACCATCACCTAGGGTCATGTCTGATATGTAGTAGCGACTCTCATGAGGTTTCCCTGTTGAACAGAGATAAAATGAAATGTGAGTTAACTAGAAATAAACCATAATTAGGGTATAGCACTTCCCAAAGGAAAGCTTAATTTACCAAGAAAGAATAATGAAGTCCCTCCTCACTGTGTAATTTCTAATTTATAAGCAGCCTAACTAAATACATTTTTCATTCTGTAATGTCATTTCAACGTGGCATTTGTGTTATGCTTCTTTGTTATGATTGGCTTAATGTATCAGTCTCTATTTTACCTCAGGATCTGAGAAGTTCTATTTTAAAAGTCTGTAAATTTCTGGGGAAAGAATTGAATAAAGAAGACATGGATGCTGTTATGAGTCAGGCCATGTTTGAAAACATGAAGTCTGACCCACGTGCAAATTATGAAAATGTGTTAAAGAAGCGACCTGAAATTGGAGGAACAGATGGCCATTTCCTTCGCAAAGGTGAAGTTCAGCATCAAACTTTTATGTTTTGTCATGCAAATCATCCAAAGTGCAGCTTCTGGACTTCTTGCCAGAGTTTCTCAAAATGGAGCACTCCGTGTCCCCTTCTCTCCTCCACACAGTTGATTTTTCTGGTTTTTGCACCACGCTCTCAATGATCCTATATTTTTTGGTCCCTGAAGGTATCTTAGGTGTAACCTACAATCACAAGGTCTTTACATGTCCCCTAAAAGTCTACCAGTGCCTAGCACAGTGCTGGCAACAAAATGGATGTTCATTCATTTTTAGACTCTTTCCCTTCATTAACATGGCCACAGTTGTGACCATAAGTGAATGACGGTCTGGCTGCCTTTACATCTCCACAAGTTTTTCTTGTGGTGAAAATTAACAACACACACTTACTATTCTTTGTTTTGAAGAGTGACCATTATGTATCATATCAAATCAGGATCTCATATTACAACAATGTGGAGTATTATCTCTTTTATCTGGCTTTATGGTAAGAGATATTTTAGATTGAATTAAATCATTATATAACTGATAAGAGTTGAACATATTGAATTATTTTCATTCCATACAATCTTTCCACATTATACCTCATGATATATTACCTGAAGATGAGTTTATTGTGTAATACAGAATTACAGGTACAGATTTTCCCTTAATTATAGAGTTATATGTCTCTATGTCAACTAGCATTGAATACTGTCTTTTTTAAAAAATTTTTTTGTAACCCTTCATGTCTTAGGTATCTTCCCCATTCTCTTAAACAAACTGAAGCAGTGGTAACAGGGAGCCGACCTGAAGAGTAGGTGCTCTCTTTCCCTGTAGCCCAGCACAGACTCTTGTGTTCTGGATTACAAGACCATTGTCATCTGTCATTACTGCTGTACTTGCATTTGGATTTTCTTTAAAAAGAAAACTTTCTGGGCACCTACATCTTTAACAAACCTAAACAAGAGAGACTGAATTGGCAAATAAGGAAAATCTGTGTGAGCAAAATATCTTTGTAAAAGTGAAGCATATTCCCATGTATTTTTATGAAGATAGATAGATGCACACACACTTTGCTCATTGAAGTTAGCTTCTTGAATGTCATTTGCTTTGGTATGACCATAGCTGCATTAAGATTTCTTAGAGTTTTTAGCTTGTTTCATGTTTTTATTTTCATTCCATTCAGTGTATTTTAGAAGTCAGTGTGTCTTCTCTTGCCTCTCTTTATCTCAGCTTCTATTTGTCATCACACTTCTAAATGTCTGTAAATTGAGAATCAGGTTGTGTCATACCTAAATTGAGTTAATATGGAGTAATTTAAGCCCTCTCTTTATAAACCCTATGACTTTTGGCTATATTTCTCATCTCTCAGAACATCTAGGTCCTCATCAGAAAATATTAATTCAGTGGTATTTGATGATGTGGGATTTTTATAAGACTTCTGTAAAATACAATAAGTGGTACTAGGGTGGAATTAAAGAGTGATTAAATTGCAGTGATTTCCTTTTTTATCCAATTGGGTTACAGCTTAGAAAGTGGAGTAATTGTATCAAGTTATAGTATAAAATGACAAGGTTTTTTACCACCTTTCCATAAAGTGAGAGAGTGAAGACTGGACCATGGGGAGGAGGAACTGGGAAGTTAGAGGGGAGAGAAAAATAAAAGTGGGAAAAATCATGTTTCCCCCATTGCTAAGGTCCCACACCAGCACCCCCAGCCTAGACACTTCACTGATGCAATTGTTTTGTGTCTCCCCCAGGTACCATTGGAGACTGGAAAAACCACATGACTGTTGCCCAGAATGAAAGATTTGACAAGATTTTCCAAAGGGAGATGAAGGATTTACCCTTGAAGTTCATCTGGGATATAAATGAAGAGAATCCTAAACTCAAGCCAAATATTTTAAGAACACACATTCAGAAAGAAACATTTAATGATGCACTTTAATCTTTGACTATTCTTGGATCACAACTAGAAACCTTAATGATTAATATATAGTAATGTAGTAATTCTATATCCTTTAGCATATGTGGCCTGTTTTCCAATTCATGGGTTCATCAATTTCTGATGAAGAGAGGATTCTCCTTATTGTGTTAGTATAGAATTACACTAAATATAGTAAAATATACTAAAATATATTAATAATAAAAGAATTTATACTAAAACAAAAGGAAATTTTTATTTTACTTTTGAGCAATTCCTGAGTTCTTGAGTAAAAGAAGAATTCATAACATGATCAATTTACTATCATAATGGAAGGTTTGATTGACTATTGTAAAATACTCCTTATTGTCTTTTTTCATGTTAAAGAGCTTAATACTCACATAACCATGTAAGTGAAACCTTCATTTTAACTCTTTCAGGCTTTATGTTTAACCTAGGAAGGTTTCCACCCCAAATATTTTCATGTAGTCATATAACATATATTCAATAGATCTAGATAATATACTTATTTTGTAAAAAGTAATTTTTTCTAATAGATAAAAAAGTGACTCAAATTGTTTATTGAATAGTCCATCATTTTCTTACTGATTAATATGGACATTACCATGTTCTAAATAATTATATGCATTTGAGTTGAGGTGTGTAAAATGTCACATTTTTCTCTTAATATGGTTTTCTCTTTCAACATGATGACATATATATTTCTAAAATAACATCATAAACTTTACTAAAGAATATTCTGGTACTATGTTAAATTTTACTTTACATTTAAAGGTAATTTAAAAATTAAACCATTATCAATTAAATATTCCCATTGAGAAATTGTTTCACCATTTATTTGTGGGTTTTATTCAGATCATTTGATTAAGATACATTCTACTTATAAAAACTTTGCTCGGTTTTTGTTACACTTACTCCTAAAGATATGTGCATATGTATATATGCATATATATATATATATANGTGTTTTTTTCAGATCATTTGATAAAGATACATTTTACTTATAAAAGGTTTGCTCATTTCTTGTTACACTTATTCCTAAACATTTACACAAATGTATATATGAACATATATTCTATATATATAAAATATTTGCACTTACTGATAGTAGGAAATTTAATCAGTTACATTTTCTTACTGATTATTGCTACTCATGGATTTTTGCCTGCTCATTCATCATTGGGGTTTTTGGACCTAAGTCTGGCTGAATGGGAAGCAGTGCAGTTGGTCTGAGGCTGGTAGCAGGGTGGAGGCTGCCATCACCACCCTTCAGCTTCTGCAGACCAATGGGAAGATCTTGGCCCATTGGTACCCATTTAGGGTGGCTGGCTGCCTCACTGCTTTTATTTTCTTTCATCACTCATGCCTTGAAAAATGAGAAAAAGGGCCCTGATTCTTGCAATGGAAAAGGATTCCCTAATCCCCATGACTCCTGGTACAGCACTACCTCCTTTCTGAACTCATAACTTCCCAGGAGTATACTGAGGAGGTTACCGTTGTATGGAGAGAAACATTTGTTTTCCCTCATTTCTGCTTATTATAAAATGATTCTATGATACTTTCCCCCTTAGAAACCTCAACGACATTTTGCCCTGTGTCTCCACTGGCCTCGGTGAGTGACCCCCAATTCAGAAAGTTATTCCCACTGGTGTTCCCTCAGTGCCTTCCCTCCTTAAAAGGAAAAGTGCAGTGTGTAGACTTTGTTCGTTCCTATTAGAGATCAGCTCCTCCATTCGTCATCAGGGTCTGTTTTTGTCAACCCCTAGTGTGCCTCAAATGAGAGTGATTTTGTCTCTACTCCACAGGTTACTTGGAAACATCTGGAGCATTTATGGCTGAGGATGTGGTGGTGCTGCAGGTGTGGAGGGAGATGAGGCCAGGGATACTGTTAGATATGTTCCAGTGCTCGGGGCAGCCCCTTCCATAGAGAACAAATGGGTGCAAAATGTCAGAAGGGTGCTTTAGGAACCTTGTTCTTTCCTCAAAGATTTGGCATGAGCAATAATTTCCTCCTTTTCAATTCCTCATCAGTTTCTTGTTTCCTGATCATTCTCTTTGGCACATAATCAAGTTGTCATGTTACATGTTTTGAAGGAGACCGAACTCTTCTTTCTCCATATCTATATTAAGCTGCTGGTTTTCTTTTCTTTGAGCTAAACTTATGCAATTTGTCTCTGCCTCCAAGTTTCACTGATGCCTCAAAATCAATATCACATATCTCTTATATTTTATAAACAAAGGAATTAATTTTGTATCATCCTATTTGGCCTATTCCTGGAATCTAACATAGTTGACTGCCTTCTCCCTTCTTTACATGTTTTCTTTTCCTACCACTGTCACTTTGACATAAACCAACAAATGTAAGACAGGAATTAATTCCCAAAACATAGTTAGAAACAGGAAGAATCATAGTAAGGGACTGAATGTGACTTCTTTCCTTTATGTATCATCGTTTGGATGAGTACTATTATTTTTTTTACAGAAATATCAACCATCATTGATATTTGTTTGATATCACCATTTTGTTGACATCAGACAAGTTCCATAGCTGTAGGACTCTTTCCTGGGCAATGTGGGTCACTGAGGGATGGAAGAAAGCAGCCCCAAAATACAAAGAATCCATCAACCCCTGTCTCAGTATGAAGGGTTATCTCCGGGCACTGCACAGGGAGGGGGCAGGGGGATGAAACCTAAACTGGATATTCCCCAAAATTAAAACAACAGATTTACATTCTCAATAGAGATGCAAGAACTCATGTTTACCAAAGGATCCTTAATATTCTGTACACACACAGAATAAGTGAGTTAAATATGGGCTGGGGCAGATATTAATGATAATTTGTATTCCGGTAAGATTAGCTTGTTTACTTGGAAAGTTTTTCAGCTTAGTGAATTTGGCAGAGGGAAAGAGCCTCGTGAAATAGAGTAGAATGGGTTCAGTGGACAATTTATCAAGTCCTCTGTGGGGTTATCTTGCATGACCACGTTATGCTATTCATACAAATTCTACTCACTGTCACCCAAACTCTGGATATCATCAGGATCACAAAGTCATATTTCAAGGGGATATTTACATTTTACCATGAAAGGAGTGTGAACCAATTAGCATTTCAGGAGCACACAGATTTTTGTTCTAGCTCTTCTGAGAAAAGAGCTCTGTTTAGATCACAGTAGGTTTGGGACTTTGGCAGTTCATAGTGCATACGGCAACTACCAGAGGCTTCTATGGGACAAAGTACTGTTCCTTATTCTGCTCTGAGGAGTCAGTGTGGCTGGTTGAGCAGGAGCGAGGCCTACTGAGATAGAGATGATGGTCTGGCACAGGAGAGGTAAGCTTAGGTTCTGCACCCCTGTGCAGAGCTGAAGGGACTCATTAGGAGCCTGCATGGTCCACTGAGGGGAGCAGCTCTATGTGTTTCTGGGGTCAGTAAGAGGATTTGTTCAGAGAGGATTTGTTCCTATTACTGTTCTTCATTTTCTGTCTTTCCTAATCCCTCATTAAAATGCTTTTCTTGGGGGGAAAAAATGGCAGCATGAATGATATGAAAATACAGCAAATACAATTAATCCTAAAAGAGTGACCAGAAAGAAGACTGCGACAGCCGGCCTACATCTGGGGAAAGAGGAGATCTCATGGGAAAGAATAAAGCAGCAAAGTTGTGATCCTGAGGGAGCCAAGCCCTCCCCTCATCCCATCTCACTGGTGGGAGGAATAGGAACAGATCAGGGAGGGAGTAGAAGCCCAGGACTTCTAAATACCCAGCCCTGGAGATCTGCTCCAGGACATGACCTGACATTGCATGCTGCTCTGGAGATTAGAGGGCGTGGAAAGCAAAGATGGGTAGAATACTTGGAGAGAATGAGAATCCAGCCACTGTGGAGCACAGATACCCACAACTGGGCACTCTGGGAAAAAAGAAATGTGGGCATTTTGAAAGACTTCCCAACAGTGAGAGGGCTGCTAAAGGGACAGCTGATACAGAGAGCTTACTGCTCAGGAGAATGAACAGGTGGACAAAATTGTCCCAGCACACTCAGCCCAGCAGGTTGGGAACTTTCTGGAAATTCAGATGCTCCATACCCCTGGCTAGCAACACAGTCCCAAGCCTCCCCCCACTGTGGTGTGCAGGCTGCCTCTCCTTCCTCCCACCTGGCACCTGCTCACTAACCTCCTGCCCCTGCCTTCACGCAATGGAAAGCTGTTGGGGAGCACAGGCATGAAGGGAGAGAGAAGAGGATTAAGGGCGTCCTATAATTAGCACACAAAATGTAGGGAGGGTGGCACAGGGAAGGGAGTATAGCCCAGAGAAGACAAGTAGTGACTCTATAGAATCTTATTATGCTGATGGACAGTGACTCTACTGGGAAATGTGGGGGGCACATAATAATAGAGGGGAATCTAGTAATGACAATGCTGCTCATGTGAACCTTCAAAAGATTACATATCAATGATAACTTAATAAAAAAAGAGGACCTAAGTGTTTAAAAAGATAAAAATAAAATAAGATAAAATGATTTTCTGTTTATATAAAACATGTTTCTAAGAAAAAAAAATTCTCCTTTAGTTCATGTAATAGTTTTCTAGTGCCAGCAGGATGATTCTCCTGTTAATCATGTGACATGGAACAAACTGGACTCTAACAACAGAGCTCCTTTTCCTTCTTTTTTACAAAACATTCCTGAACCTAATAAGACAGATAAAGCTTATTTCTCAGCCTGTTCCCTATATTTACCTGAATCCTTTTCTATATTCCCACAGTAACTAGAAGGCTTTGGTTTGACCATATCAGAGGTTGGTATGAACACAAAAGTCACTTGAGCATTCAGTTCATAATGTATTAGGACATAAGGGTGAGAAGAAATTATATTTCTGATTTAACCCAAGTGATAACTCAGCTTGACTTTATGAATTGATGATTCATGTCTAAAATTCTCAAATTAGAGTATGGAATTAGAGATCCAACAGGCATTGTTACAGGACACTTTTTTCTATGTCATCTCCACATTTTATTTACCAGATTTTTATTTATAGCTTTGGGCATAGATTTCCTATAAAAAAATGATATGTGTGTGAGGGATTTCTGGGTATCTGTGGGCCTTCACATGCTTGATTATTTTGAACCAGAATACTGCTCTCTCAGCCATGTTTTATTCATTCTATTTTCTGCATTATTCATCCTTTTAATGTTCCAAATTTAGTTTATCACACTTGGATGCATTTGTTGTGAAATTTAATCTTATGTGCCTTATGTTGGGTAAGCCTGATAGGAGAATTTAAAATAAAATGTCTATTTTTCATTAGAAAGAATGCAGCTCCTAATTACAATCTTCATACATGATTTATAAGTGTTTTGAAGCATATATCTTCTATTTGTGTACTGAAATCATGAGGCAGGCTGTCCTGAGGCTGGGTATGGCAGCTAAAAGATGGCATGAAAGTTCCAAGAATTTTATATTTTCTTTTTTATCATATTTTCTGTAACATCGATCCTCCTCTCATAGCTGCAAGGTGGCTGTCATGGCACCAGTCTCATGTCCTATGAGGACAGTCAGGAGGATAGACAACACCCAAAGTGGAAATAGAAGGAAAAGGAACATAAAGGAATTTTTCCCTTGCTTTGTTGCCAGCTTTACCCAAGAAGGAAAATAAATCTCAGAAGCTTCTATTTGACTTTGTGTTTCTGTTTCAATGCCAAAAGTGCATCAGTCTCCAGTCTAGACTAATTTTGTAAAGGAGAGTGGTAGTGCCATGAAGATCTCAGCTCAAACCGGACCATTCCTGGAACTACTGCCAGAACATCACCAGGGGTCTTTTATCA